AGTTAGCTGCATGCATTCCTCAGCAACATTAGGGCATACTGACTGGGAACAAGGATATCGGTGTCGTGGGCAATGAAGTCTTCAAGAATCTTCTTGGGGCTGTCTACGATGTCGACGTCGCGCCAGTAGATCCAGGAGTGCTCTGGCTTCATGGCAGCGGACAGGAGGTAGTTGCGGGCGCGACCCATGGCCTTCCTTCGGGGACCCTGAGCCTTGAACGAGTGGCGCTCCTCGACGCTCTGGCTAAGCTCGAAGCCGAAGTCCTTCTCGACAACCATAGCGCTGTTGAAGGGGATCTTGTCAGGGCGGCGCTGGATGCGATCCAGTTCAGAGGCCAGGACTGCGAGAGTATCATCCTTGGAATCGCCGACCAGGAAAGCGAGATCGATCAGGTGGTGGGGGTAGGTAAGCTCGGCAATCAGCTCAAAGTATTTGGACAGGTAAGGGGCGGCGTCTTTGAGAGGGGTAAGGATCAGGACGCGCTCCTCGTTATTGACGGCCTTGCGGGTGGACTTGATGGGGTTGAGGTCGACGTGTTGGATGGAGGTGTGGTTGATCTCCAGGGGCTCGTGGTGGTTGAAGATGACGGGGGTCTGGAGGTGGCCAGCCCACGAAGCTTGCTCATTGAGCGACATCTCCATGGGGGGTTTCGCGGGGCCCCAGCAGTAGAAGCTATTTGCGGGCATCATATGTTAGCAGGCTTTCGTCTGGTACAATTCCGGCGCAGCGCATCGCGGAAGCAGGCGATTTTTTTTTTTTTGCACAACCCAACGAAGCGCTGACTGCCAAGGCGCGAAAGACATACCTCTGCATCTCAGAAGCTGACGTGCGAATGCCGCGCCATAGCAGCAGAATCATACCCGTGAGGGCGAGCAGGAGAAGGAAGCGCGTCTTGGTGACGATAGCCCATATCGCTCTCGTGGGAGGTAGTCTGGCCTGGGCTGACTTCCAGTTGATACCGCCTTTGGGGAGAAGCATGGCTCCTATTGAAATGGGGGGTGGCCCTGGGACACCACCCTAAAAACCTATGTTTACAAAGAAAAAAAGGTCGTGTATCTGTTTGGCACGGCAGGCGTCCCAAATGGCAGCGTCGTCGAGGTTTGACGAGGTGCGAAGAGTTACTGGTGTCGTCGAAGTCGTCGTTGTGGTCGCAGACGGCCTTGGTATTGGCGAAGTATATCGCGGATGGTAGCGGCGGCTTCGGCGGACGGTGATGTAGGTTCGCGCGGAGCAAAAGGGTGACACGAGCCTCCCCAAAAACGAGGTCCGAGTCGATCAAGTTCGAGTCGGGCAAGGGAGGTGGTTGATTGGGCGGTTTCGTGTCGTCCGATAGATAGCAGTCGTGGCAGCACAGCGGGCTCACAGAAGGGGGTGGGCCAAGGCTGGTGGTGGTGCTGGGCGAAAGTCGAATCTCGATCGGAATTGATAAGAGATGGGTATTCCGCGGTTTGTCGGTGTTTGGACGTGTGATTGTCGTCGCGCGTTGTTGGTGAGAAGAGAGTTTGGGGAGTCTGCTCTTTCAACCTGGGATCCTCTTGTCTTCGCCTTGCGTTCTTTGAAGAAGCGCTATGGTTTCGGCCAGAGTTTTTGTCGAGAACAAGAACGAGGGACGTTCGGGTAAGCCCAGCGGGAAGGGGAGGGAATTGGGAAAGGAGCCACGCCAAAGGAGCCCCCCCGAAAAAAAAAGGGTCGACCGGGAGGACAGACCTTGGTGTGGCAGGCTTGGATGGGATAGGCTAAGGCGAGAGGCAAGGTCGAGGCAGGCTTGGGATGGTGAGGGTGAAGCGCAGGAGACAGGCCAGTCAGAGGGGGAGAAGGTACATGCAAGCACGGATGCGCAGAAGCTAGGCAGGCACAGAGCACAGATTACAGGTGTCACAGGCATAGGACAGATGCCCTCCGTCACTGAAGGACCTCCCGTCTTCTGCCAAGTAGGAGCATTAGTAAGGAAGCTGCTAAGGTAAGCTGGCAGCGAGCCCAGCCCAGGTTAGGTACCTCAGTTACCTCTGAACGGATGCACAGAAGCTGCAGCCCGCGGTTCGCAGAGCGGGAGAATACGAAGACGCAGCCAATGGTGATGCTCCGAAAAGTTTATCCAGGCTTGACAAGTATCGCAAAGTATCGATTCAGAGCTCGAGGTAGCGATTGGCGAGATTGCCTCAGTTGCCAAGCGCTTCTGGACTCAGGAGAGAGAGAGGAGAGACTGCGCCGGAACCTCGCGGTACCTCCTTCCGCGCGCCCAGCGACGGAGGGGGACCTCGGGAGGTGCTCTGCTGCTTCCAGGCGTGCAGCTCGCCATTGGGGATAATTTGCAGGACATATTTGATCCCGTCCTGCCAACAGCGCGAAAAAGCCAGGATCAACGACGTTGGAACTTGGGGCTGGCCTGCTGCGCCTGTTGGATCTCCCCCCGTTCCAAGCTTCCTTGCTCCATGCCCATATCTCCTCCCATCCCATCCTCATCCCCTTTTCCAGCATCAACCACCCAGCGCTCAGCGTTGCTCAAAGCCACAAGCGACATCGACAGCAGTTCCATCAGTCAGTCAGCCTGAAGGAATCGCCAGGATCGTTGTGTGATCCCGTCGTCGTCCTCGTCGCCAATGGCGAATGGTCGAGAATCAGCTGAAGACACCTCAGCGCCCGCCAAGGAATGGTTATCTGACGGGAGAGGATAAAGACTTGCAGGCCTACCCCAGTGTTCTCCAGGGGGGGGCCGCGGGAGAAGGAGACAGAAAGAATGGCCCGGCCGAGGGGAGTCCGCGCCCCCTCCCCTCAGCACCACAGATCACAGACGCCCATGGAATCGTACATCGTGGTCAGACCAGCTCAAAGGATCTGGATCGTCGCAGCATCGAAAGAAGGACGAAGCTCGAAAAGCGCACGCCATCTACCAGCCCGTCCGCCCTCCATCTTCAAGGTCCAAGGGGACACTCAAGTCAACTCGAGTTGCTACGCAATATTAAAAATCGGCCTGAAGAATAAATACTGCGACACAGAAGTCTCCTCCATCTTCCCTGGCATAGCTTCCCCAAATGGCGTCGTGGCATTCGATACCTGGGCCTGGGCGCAGAGCATCAGCTCCACCCTTGCTTCTCCCAATATCCGATGTCACGGCACCACATACCATCGCAGGAAGCGCTTCCCCGATGCCTGGCCTTGCTGTTCTTTTTAACATTACCTTGGCCACTCGCTTGTCGCTTGTGGCACGGCACATTTCACCGTTCAAGCTCTTCGTGCATGCCGCACTACTGTACCTACGGTGCGAGCAAAGGGAGGTCAAGACATTTATCTCTTTCTGCGTGTGCTAATGACCTAATGAGAACCCCTCAAAGCTGCAGCCCAGATTTCATTTCTAGGCAGTCTCAGAGAGAGAAAACATGACGATCAAAAAAGGGGAACACATTGGCACTGGGCGCAGCCAGCCAAGCAAGCAGTCGAAAGCCACACGAAGCGAGAGGGGGAGGAAGAACACACTGACCAGCCAGTCAAGGATCATGATTAAAATCTCCAATCCCACACTCTTTCCCACGCGCGACACGCACGCGATCGCCACAATGCCACCAATATCACTCGCGTCACCATCAAAAAAGAAGAAAACTGGAGAAACCACTGCCATCGCCTGCCGTGGCCTGACGACTCCCCCCTTCTACCAAACAATTGCTTGCGGCTGGACTCTGGGACACAGACAGCGGGAGGAACAATGCTTCTCCATTGCTCTCCAGTAGTTCCCGGGCCTCCAGAGCCCCCGTTGAAAGATGGAGCAGATATCCGTACGCTGAAGCGAGTGCAAAAAGTCGTCGTCATCCGCCATCATCAGAGAGCATGACGACGAACGGGGGCTTCCTCCTCCCCCACATTTCCGTCCGTCGACAATCATGCTGCTGCTGCACACCAGGTTACAACGACAGCTGTGAGGGGAAAGAAACCAGATGAGAGGCAAAACTCGATATCATTTGATCACCCAACCGGATCATATCAGACAGTGTGGTCGCATTGCAATGCATTGCAGGACTTGAACACGAGCGGAGTGGCTACCCTTTCCCCCACGCAAGTTCGTAATTACTTGGTATCGACACCCAAAGGACCTGCAGCCAGCGGCGGACCCGGCTGCGGATACGGATACCGCTCCCCGCAAGTAGTCCCCAACAGCCGGCGCGGCCGATTGACGTCGATCCATCGTCCTTAATAAATATAGCAACATGCCACATACATCGACAGGTCCGCGATGGTGGAAAATGTGGAAAAGGTCTCCTCTATTGGTACCAAAATTCATCATGTAGGTTCCTCCCCGGAAACGGCAATTTCTTCTACTTGGTAGATGGACGATGGAAATCGGAACGCCCGATACGGATAAAGTGCGAGCCGATATGCGTGTTTCCTGATCATATCACCACCCATATCGGAGGCTCTGAACAAAAGGCACGTCAAGATCCGTGCTGAGAAAACGACTGTGAACAACCTTCTGCTCTGTATCTATTCTCGCGTGACATCCATCGGACGGGATTAAGTAAGCCAAGCGTCTGCCTGTCAGCGAATGAGGCAGGCAGGTTTACCTTCCAAAGGCAAGTGCTGTCACTAGTAACCTACCTCACTTGGCTCTTACCCCCAAACCTCGGATGACAAAGCAAGGGCGTAGCGTAGCGGCTGAATCTGTTCGCCATCTCCATTGCTGTGAATGACAACGACATCACCGCAGATCAAATTGTCTTTTTCGCAACATCGCCTGTTTTGCCTCGCCGTCTGATGTTGACCTGTGGAGAAAATACTGTGCTCACGCTCTCGCAATCTCTTGAGCTGAAGCCAATGGCTCTCGAATGAAGCTGTGCCTGCCCCGTCGTTTACCGAACTCTCGTCAACTTGCACGGGGAACACATCTTTTGATATCTTCACCTCGCAACTCGGTCCTTACCTCTGGCCGTCTACAACTTACCGCGAGAAATCCCAACTTTTTACAAAGTCACTTCGGGTTATACTCGTCGGCATCAAAGACATCACAAACCATGGCAACCCGACGCTCGGCGCGGCTCAGCGCTCAGCCAGATATAAAGCTCCCGCCGCCTGCAGTCAAGCCACCGCCCAATCAGAGCCGCAAGAGGAAGACACCCGCAGCAGCACCGTCCTCGGATCCGGTCACCCCTCCGCGAAAGCGGGCCTCGAAGACCGCCGCGGCTCCGGTCACCCCCGTGCTGCCGCCCCCGATGACGCCCACGCCGAGCGCGGTGGGTATCATTGCCGAGAGGGTCAACGGCACCGCGAAGCCCAGGTCGAGGGCGGTCAACAGGCTGGCAGACCCGAAGACGACCAACGCGCCGGTCATCTCGCCCGAGACCTCGCGGGTGCTCGCCTCTGATCCCATCGAAGCACCATCACCAACCAAGGCAGCTAACGCTCCGGCCACTGGGAAGCGGACGACGACGGCCAACATCCTGGAGGAGGCGTGCCGTCATCTCATCGAGGTCGATCCCCGCATGAAGCCGCTGATTGAGAAGAACTACTGCCGCGTCTTCTCGCCGGAAGGACTGGCTGAGAAGATTGACCCCTTTGAAAGCCTCTGCAGCGGCATCATCTCGCAGCAAGTGTCAGGCGCCGCTGCTAGATCCATCAAGAACAAGTTCATCGCGCTTTTCAGCGACGAAGACAACGGGGAGGCGGAGAAGCCCAAGAAGAAGTTCCCCCAGCCCTCAGAAGTAGCCCCTACCTCCATTGAGCGTCTGCGCACCGCCGGCCTGTCGCAGCGCAAGGCAGAGTACGTCAAGGGGCTGGCCGAGAAATTCGCGAGCGGCGGGCTGACGGCCACGATGCTGGCCGAGGCGCCCTACGAAGAGGTCCGGGACAAGCTCATTGCGGTTCGCGGGTTGGGGCTGTGGTCCGTCGAGATGTTCGCCTGCTTCGGGCTCAAGAGGATGGACGTCTTCTCGCTGGGCGACCTCGGCGTGCAGAGGGGCATGGCGGCGTTCGTCGGCCGCGACGTGGCTAAGCTGAAGGCCAAGGGCGGCAAGTGGAAGTACATGAGCGAGAAGGAGATGGCCGAGATGGCGAGCCCGTTCGCGCCGTACCGGAGCGTCTTTATGTGGTACATGTGGAGGGTGGAGGAGACCGATATAAGCACGCTGGAGTAAGGTAGCTAGCTTTGCCCATCAAGCTTTCCCTTTCCCCATCAACATTAACCCGAAGCTCGGGTCGTCTCGCTGTGTTCATCTCCAGTTGCGGATGCCATAATTTGACTTGTGTGGAGTTGCTCAGCAATACGAAGTCCCGTTAATACGAGAATTTCTGGCTCTGATCTTCCAGTCCCGGGCCCCAAAACGGGAGGCGGAAATCGTCGGAGTGATCTCCCAAGGCTGAGGGACCCGAGTCATCTTAGCCTTTTGGGATTGAGTTGAGCGGACTGACGGACAACTCTGTTCGTATAGGTGTCAACCCATGTTAATCTTTGGCGAAGTTGGGTTCCCGATGTAAACAAGCTTTTGGACATCACCTAGCCTCCTCGCGTGACAGTCAGAATTAGCCTTGCAGCCCAGGGTCTTTTTTCCCGAGTCAGCAGGCCACACCTCTCAACCCCAGACTGCAATCGGCGCAGTTGTGTGTGAAGTTTGCGAGGCGGGTTGCGGCTTGAACGGCGCACTGCACCAGCGCCGCAAACAAATAGCATCGCACGTGCGGAAGGGCGACGGCATATAGCTGCCGCGGCCCGGATAAAGGCACGAAAAAGGCGGCTCGTGGCAGGAATTGGGGAAGTGCATCCCCACGCGGGCTAGCCGCGAATAACATCATTTACTGCGTACAAGAGAGCTGAGCCCGGTGAGCGTCAGCCAAGGATGTCTATGTTTGAAGTCTTGTCGCAGGATGAACTCGTCGTTCGTTGGCTTGGGCATAATAGCTGCTGCGGTTCGAACATGTCTACCAAAATATCCGACAATTGCGTCAGAGGCCGCAGGGTAAGGCCTGTCCATTGTTTGGTGTTTCCAGGCCTGGACGAGGCTACCAATAGAGAGAGCGACTTATGACTGTGAGATCACAGAGATGAGGGCCCCGAGACGATCTGCCGCACCGTCGTCTGAGAACGAGACTCAGTACCAGATTTCGCCGGTAGGAATAGCCAGTCGCGATATAGATCAGCCGCGAAGGAAGATCAACTGTGCAGGTCTCTTGTACGGAAATCTCCAGGGCATCTGTTTGGCCAGAGCCGTTCGTGCCGTTGACGGTTGCCAGGAACGGCAGCCACGGCAGAGCCACCAAAAAGCCTGGAAGCTGTGGCAGACACCCCTGCAGCGCCTGCAAGATTGGGGGAGCCAGGATGAACGCGGATAAGCCGGGGCCTGGGGGGGAAAGAGAGGGCGTGGCGCTAGTGACAGCCACGGCGTCAGCAATCTTTGAAGATGCTGCGAGGCCAAGGTAAGAAGATATCGAAAAGGAAGACTGGCATGTGGTATTATGATGGGTTGCAGCGGCGCAATCTCGTCCATGTTTATTTTCCGCTGGATCTGCTGCTTCTGCCAATCCGACCTCCTGTATTCGGATGGCAATATCGGATGCTGGCTTGCAATGGCGCAGAGGCCAAGAGGCGAATTTCGACAGGCAAGACATACTAGACAGACGGGTGACTGGCGGGCACTTGGCGCCGGGGCGGAATGGCAGCAGAACGAAAAGAATGCCATGGACGAGTCAATGGAGTTCTGAACCACGGTCTCGGCACGGCGTTGTGGAGGAACACGGCCGGGAGGTAGCCGTTGGTCCAGCCATTCAGAGACAGGAGCGCTGTCGTGAGCTGCTGAAAAGTCAGGGCAAACTTCCATGGTACGTGGGCCGACCCTCATCAGCTAGACATGGACGGGCAAGTGGGAGGCGATGTTGTCGTCAGCGCTCAGCCGCCTCTTCGCAAGAGATATGCCGGGCTCGCTGCTGAGAATCGAGATGCGCGCTGGCGCGTTCTTGGACAGTTTTAGCGTCGCCGAAAGAAGCGTGTTGAAGTGGCTAGTGACGCGAAAATCAGCGACAAAATGCGATGTGTGGTGCTGGCAGTGGTGGTTTTGGGGTCTCGTATCGCTTCTGTGGTTGGTGCCGGGTATGTACGCCGTCTCATCCAGCGCCTCACTGCTGCACAGTCGATGCACAGTCGCTGCACCGCAGATGGGATACGCAGTAGACTGACAACACTGCAGCAGCGCAGACGATGGGATACATGATGGCATTGGCGCGAGGGAGAGCGTTCAAGTGCAGAATGCCAGCTGCAGCGGACGGACCCCGGCCCGCCCACACTGACTTCCCGCAGTGGCAGCGCTGCATCTGAACGAATGACAACCTGCAGCGCAAAGTGTTCCGGGTCTCCAAGTTCCTGTCGGACGCGTCGCGCTATCAGCACAGCCTTCGAACCAACTTTTTTTTTGTTCTGCTGTTGGTGGTGTCCCGGGGGCCGGCTTTATGAGCAGGGCCGGGGAGGTCGCAATCCATGATTTGATAATGTGCGAACGGTTGCTTGTGCTGGTTTGGAGCCGACCGTATGTAGATTGAGCCGATATTTGAATTCCGTTACAAAGCTTGCTTCTTTGCGAACCCTCGTCTTCCAGCTGCAGTTCCAGACCACGGCTTCTGCCCATCGCCATTCGGATGGCCGAGCAACTGCGTCATCGAGTGCCGCGGGTGAATGTGGTGCTGGCAGCCCTGAAATGATGGTCTAATCAATCAAAACGGCAGACTGGCGACAAGATGAAACATTTTGTGGATGAATTGTTGAAGGTTGTTGTGTTAGCGAACGGGCGGTTTTTTATTCAGCTTGCCCGGTCCTGTCCGCGGCGGCCGGTAGTTGCTGGCAGTTGCACTGTACTTGGCGCAGGTTTGACACCATTTTTCGAAATTCGGCGGCCTCTAACCAGGATGGAGGCCGACGGGATCAACGATGGATCATGGGGATGGACGGTTCGCTGGGCATTTGTTCGATGATTCGAGCGGCAGGTTTCGGGGCTGCTTGCTGTTGTGGTCGATTGGCCCATCGAGCGGCGGCGCGCAGAACGGCGGTAGGCGGGCAGGGGTGTAGACTCGAGGAAAGGTCGAACCGCAGATTGATTGCCAGAAGAGGCCTGGCTCGGCAGCCTCGGTCTTGATTGGTACTGGAATGGGAAGAAGGGTGGATTGGGGGAGTCCTTGGTTCAAGCTGTTTGTGACACTTTTGAAGCTGGAGAGGAAGTCCCGGCGCAGGCAATGTGCGTCTGATGGGGCCTCAGGCGCAGCCGACCCCCTCTGGCAGCAGTGCCAGAGTCTCAGAGTGGCCAGCAGTGGGCACCCAGCCAGTCCAGCTTGTCCATCGCGTCTGACCTTGGCAAGGTTTGTGTTTGAGAGCCGCCAGTCGCTGTCCAAGAAAACTGCGGATAACTGGAGCGGCGAAGAGTCCGTCGGTCCTTAGCTTTCCTCCATTCTTCTGATATGGATGCCGGTCCCTACTGGTACAGGGAACGATGTTGCAATTCATGTAAGGTACAGACAGCGATCGGTGGAGGCGACCAGCGTCTTGATTGCTGTTATTTGTTTTTCTGGTCGCTGTCGGTGTGTTGTGGTCGAAGATGGGCGAATATCCTGCACAAGAAATCAATAAGTTCAAGGTTTGGTTCCGGGCCCGTCGGTCGATTGTGCATTGACTAGATTTTTTCGTCGTAAGTTGCTGCGTCGTACAGGAGCAATGTAGTTTTATGACGATGGCCCGCGTATTGAAATTCCTGCATGGAAAAGACTCGACTCCTCTTTTCACCTCGTCACTGCAGTTCGTCCTATGTAGGATGCCTTACGCTTGTCAAGTCAGTCAACTGCAGCGAAAAAGAGAGTTTTGGCTGACTGTTGCCCTGCCCATTGACTTTGAGGCCTAGCATTGACACCACAGCGACCTTTGTTCAGCAGGTTTGTGTCTGTCTGGACTTCTGTTGTGCTTGTGCCTGTGCCTGTTCCTGTTCATCTTTGCGACAGCCACACCCTCTTTTTTGCTAGCGCGGCACCCCACCCTCCACTCTTCATCTCAACCCCTTGCCCCTGGATGCACCAAAGTGGCTCCCGATAGACGGAGCTAGGCCAGAAACCAAGACGTTCAAATCTCGCCAGAACGGTGGGAAGCAGGACAATTATTGGCATTGCCCAATGTGTCCTGGTTTCTCTCCGGCCGTCACCACTGCCATCCACCATCCCATCGCGATTCCATCATTGCTCGAGATTTTCTATCATGTTGGCCGCAGGGTTTGCTTTCTCTATCAGGAAGCGACAGAACGGTCCAGAGTCGGCAGATAAAAAACAATGCCTGGAGTCGAGAAAGGGGTAGCGAAGCAAGGCGAGCAGGGAGGCAGGCTCTCAGACGGGGATCAGATGCAGATGGACCGAAGTCAATTCAACCCACTGACGGCCGCCAATTCGTATTGCTGGCCGTCATGACCGTTATCGTCATTGATTGACAGACTTTTGCTTGCTGCCACCGTCTGCCAGTCTCTGTCTGCTGCCACGGCTGGCGGCGGCGAGTCCGTGGTAGAAGCACAGAATCTACACCTGACTATTGTGCCAAGTTTACGTATTAATCGAATACGCGGTCTCTGATAGTGTGTATCCATCATCGTCTACCTGACGGTTGAGCAATGAGCAAGCAGCCAGCACAGCACAGCACATGGGAGACAACACCCAACGGCAGCCCTCTCGCAGTCCGACAGTCGTGTCAGTCCAAGCCAATCCGTCTTGGCTCCTGGCCATCTCCCATTTCTCGACGCCGTCCTGACTTGACGGTCTTGAGTCTTGATTGACCACCACACCCACGCCGGCGTCTCCTGGACCTGATGCCTGCCATGGTTACTTTGTATCCGCAGTCTGCACCACGAATAGCAGCGTGATAATTGCCCTGACCCCCCTCCTTTCGGGCCATCCCCTGTCTCCCTCTCTGCAAGCCCACAGTCCAGTCCCCCCCTTCACCTGCAGTGTTTCCCCTTCAAGCCACGCCCTCCCTTCTTCCCCCGACCCCCAAGCCTGAGGACCTAAGACCAAGACCAAGACTTAGACCTTGGACTGACCTTGACCTCTCCCTTCTCCTTCGAAAGCACCACACAAAGACCATTCGTATCCCTTCCTTCCCCCAGACCTTTTCTCCCTCTTCCCT